AGGTGATGGAGGTCGGAAGGACCGTAGTCGGCAAGAGACAAGGGTCAGAAGGCCGTAGTAAAAAGGCAGTACTCTGGGAGAACTCTTGGCATCAAGTGGTGGACTGGTGGAGCATAGGGCCTTAAGCAGTGGTCCGACGGAAGTCCAGGCCTCAAGTGGTGGTCCGATGGAGCAACGGCGTCACGCGACGGTCCGTGCGGTGGTGAGGGTCTCAAGTGGTGGTCCGACAAAGCAACGACGTCAAGCGGTGGTCTAGCGGAGGTGAGGGCCTCAAGTGATGGTCCGGCGGAGCAACGGGGTCAGGCGGTGGTCTGGCGGAGGTGAGGGTCTCAAGTGGTGGTCCGGTGGAGCAATGACATCAGGCGGTGGTCCGGCGAAGGTGAGGGCCTCAAGTGGTGGTCCGGCGGAAGTCCGGCGATGGTCGAGGAGCAACTTCTACCTTCTCTTCTTCCTTTTTCTCTTCTTGCTTCGGTCCCCCTCTCAAGAGAAATGATGGGTCTATTTATATATTTCAGAAGTGGCATGGCCCGTAAATAGGTGAGAGATCAAGGGTACATGGGGAGTGGTTAGATGGACGGCTGATATTGAATCCCTTGATCGTGGAGCATTCTTCAGACATTTGAAGGTCTTAATGATGTCAGAATTCGATGATCTTAGGCTCGTTGGATTCCTCTCGTCGAGCCACCAATTCGACTATAAGAACGACATATTTGGAAAATGTTTGGTAGCCCAAATTGTGGTTTGAACCTTCCAACAGTACTTCGGGTCCTTGATTTGGACTCATTTGGGCTCGGATTGAGTCGAATTTTGGTGGTTTTGGGTTCGTATTCCTGAGACGTTCAGTTTGACTGTAAGTTTGCTGAAATCAGAGTTCAGATGGTTCCAATTTTAATTTCATAAGTTTCCAACTTAATTTTGCATCGATATTTGTGCCCGATCAAGATATTTTTTTTTGAGGACGTAACAATATTATTTAACACTTTCATCACTGAAATATTTAAGATGGATTAACATATATATTATAAAAAAATTTTATATGTATAATATATAAATATGAATATTTATTTTTAAAATAAAATGTCTTTTTATACAAATATTTTAATGTGAATAAGATACAAAATTACTATATATTTAAATATTAAAATGTAGTTATTAAATATGTAAATATATGAGAACTACATTATATGCATATAATATAGTTCTTATATATTAGTGTTGCGGGCTAGAATATACGCGGCGGTAGAGTTTGCAAATTCACGTATGAGCGTTGTACGAATATTCAGTACACGAATAGAAAAGAAAATGAACACTAGGAATTTTACGTGGAAAACTTGAAAGAGGGAAAAAACCACGTGGCCATGCCCAGTTGAAATAATTCCACTAGTGTTTGTTTGAAGTACAGAGGCTAATTCGTCCCACAAGTTAAGACGATCAGCTTACAATCAATTTCTTCTAAATTGAAACAAAGTTGCAAAGTTCTGCGAAATTCCGACGTCTCCCAAAAATCCGGCAGAGTTCCGGTGTATTTAGGCAGCGGAAAGAAACTCCGACGGTGGTCGAGGAGGAGATGATTTTCCTTTCCCCTTCTCTTCCTCTTCTCTTCTTCTTCTCTCTCTACACTTGAGTCTCCTTTGTGAAGAATGAGGGCTCTATTTATAGTTTTTCTGGAGTGGCATAGCTCGTAAATAGGCGTGAGATCAGGGGCGAATAGGGAGTGGTCGAATGGATGGCCGATATTGAACCCTTTGATCGTGCATCGTTCGTTGGACATTTGAGGGCCTTAGTGATGTCGGAATTCGGTGATCTTGGACTCGTTGGATTCGTCTCGTCAAGCTGCTCGATTTGACTATAAGCTCGTTAAAATCGGAGACCGTTTGGTAACTCAAATTGTGGTACAAGCTTTCCAACAGCACTTCGGGTACTTGATTTGGGCTCATTTGGGCTCAGATTGAGTTGAATTTGGTGTCATTGGGTTTGTATTTTCGAGACGCTCACTTTGTGTATAAGCTCACTGAAATCAGAATTCGGGAGCTCTTAGATTTAATTTTCGAAGTTTCCGGTTTGATTTTGCCTCAAGATTCGTGCTTGATAAAGATAACTTTTGGTGAATATATCAGTTGCCCTCTTATTTTCGGATGTCATAGCTTTAGGAGCTTGAAAATATGTGTCACAAATTTTAGAATTAATCTTGTGTGTAGGAGCTCCGAGCGGCTCTGAAAGTGCCGAAATTGAGTCCGGAACGTCGAAAAATGGTCCCGGGGACCCCAAAAACGTCCGATTTGATCTTCTCGGGGCGAAAAACGGACCCGGAACGGACTGGGAAGCCGAACCGGCCGAATCGGCGGGCTGGCCGCTGTGCGCTGGTCGCGTCTTTTCGGGAGTCCGGTTGACTGCACCGCCTTAAGTGGGCCCCACCAGCCAAAAATAGTCATTTTTTGTTATTTTTTGGTCCTAAAATTTTTGAAAAATAGAAAATTTTAGAATTTCAAAAATGACAGCAACTCCCCTTTATTCTCTCAAAAACCCATAACTAGGCCCCCTAGGCCTTTAGAAAAATTGCAACTTCTCCTTTTCTCCCTCTGGCTCTCTGACAGTTGAGGCTTTTCGCTATTTTTGAGTGGGAAATTTCCCCTGTTCGACTCAGAGCCCCTCTTATCGTGCAGAAGTTAAGGGATTTCTTCTTGATCTTCTTTCCACCCGTTTTTCTTCCTGCTCTAGGGGCTTTCTGCTGTCTTTCATAGGAAATCTTCCCTACTTAGACTTGCACCCCTCTTTAATACGGAAATAAAAATGGGTGATCACGCCTCTACCAAAGATGCTTCCACCATAGAAGATCATCCTACCGCCCGTTCTGAGGGTTCGAAGAAGATTTCCAAGACAACAAGGGCTGATGATGTTATCTCCACCATCACTGAAGATTCTTTCATCTCTTGTAGGAAAAAGTTTCATTTTCCTAATGATCTGGTGATGAAGATGCCGGCAAGATCTGATCGTGCCTGCTTTCCTCCTCCAGGATACGTGATGGTGTATGAGTTTAGTTTACAAGCGGGGTTGAGGTTTCCACCGCCTCCCGAATTGACTGATATTCTGACGATTTGCGGAATGAGTTTGTCTCAATTTTCCTATCGGAAATACCTGCCTAGTGCTGTCAGCCTGTGCTCTGACGCTGTGAAGCCTTGTATTATTCAATATTAATAATGATACTTAATGATTAATGATGTATTATTCAATATTAATAATGATACTTAATGATTATTATTTAATATTAAAAAGTTTGGAAAATATAAAAACTGAAAAATATTTGGTATAATAAATTTATATTCAGTTAATTTCTAATTAAATATTATTTTTTTAAATTAAAAATTTAATTAATTATAAAAAATATATAAAAATTTTGGTATGTAAAATGAGTCCCCATAACAATAAAATATAGATACTCAACTAAAGTTGTTGATTAAAGGTTTATTTGGGACAACATTTTCACTACTTTCTTTCTCACATAATAACTATAATTTCATCTTAATACTATTTTTTTATTTTTTCTCACTGCTTTTTAAAATTTTATATAATGAAAAGCTATTTTTTGCAATCAGAATAGTTAAGTTGCTTTCCTCATAACTATAGGGAAGTAAAACTACGTAGTAAAACAAATAAAAAATAGAAATCTACAACATAACGAAAGAGCACCAAGATTTAAAGTGAAAAAATCAGATACCCAAAAAAAATCATGGAGCCTCACCATACCAAGAAATTCACAATGAAAATTGGGTGAAATTATACATATCTATTTTATCTCCCACTCTCTCCTTATCTCTCTTCACTATTGCACCAATCTCTCATTAGAACTAACAAAGTGATTAAAAACAAATAAACAAAGTGATATGCACATTAAATCACCCAAGGGACTCAACCCTTCATGAAGAATGAGAAAGAGAACTACCCAGGCGATGATGTCAGGTTTGGAGCATCGTGGTGCTCCAATATCTGTCTTCAGTCTATCTTATAGTGATGCAGCGTCGGGATCTGAAGCGACACAACGCTTCACTCTCTATCTTTTGCATGAGTTGTAGCATTTGTGGTGCTATAGGATTTGGAGAGATGGAGCGCTCGAGAACACACACCGCACCGCTGTAAAGTCTTATGTAAAAAGAAAATCTCAAGGAGGACCCCCTACAACCCCTTGACAATCTTAACTAATGGAATTGAGGTTCGAGGCAATCGAACAACCCAATTGATCAACATAATCAAATTCCACAGAAAACTAACAACAAGAACAACTTTACAACCAAATTTATAAAACTCTAGTCGTACCTAACAAACCCTAAGTTGAGTAATGCCTCTACTAATTGCCTGAGATGAACATAATAATACACTATAAAATTCATTCATTGAATCAGAATATAGGTTTACTATTTCTAGAGAATTATGATAGAACTTACAATTATCAATAACTATGAGAATGAGCAAACTCTTTTGAAAAATCTTCAGTTATTTGGCTATATTTATTATATCATTAAACAACCTAAAAATATTCAAACCAACATATCCCAAAGTAGTGCTACTGCTTATGGTGATAGCCTAAAACAATTGTAAGATTTTATTGGATAAACTACCAAAACATTTTCAACATATTATTGAACACTATATGGTCTAGCAAATACCAACCTTGGAATGTGTTCTTCCTTCCCAAATAACTCTCATAATCAAATGCAAATTGACAATGTTATCATTTTTTTCAACCTCTTCAATTATTGCATGTTCCATCCAACCACGTTGTTCTCATTGTATGCATTTAAACTATAAAATAAAATAAAAATATATAAAAAGACCTGTGATAATGTTGCAACACTTTAATTAAATATCAAGAAAAGCCAAGAAGATGGTGATCAAACACAAGAATCATTTTCATAAAGTTCATTTACAAGAAAAAAGGCCATTTGATTATATTGATGGCATTTTAATGTTTAAGTTTCTAAAAATTAACCAAAATGAATTGTTAGTTGTGAAGAATTGTAAACTTTTAGATTGGATAAGATCGATGGCCACATTTCAATTTTCTAGTTCATTCGAAAATGAGTTGTTTGTACAAATAGTTATATAAAAATTTGATACACAATGTGTACAAATTTATACACAGTGTGTGCACTCACATATCCGGACGGTTCTTTCTATTCTAACTCTGCACAGAATAATTTCTCCTCATTTTGAAGTTCATTTCATCATGTGTTGAAATCATTCTTTACTGTAAGTTTCAGAAGACTTTGCTCTGCAGCTCCACCAGTAGAAGGCTACCGAGAGAAAAAAAAAACCCTAAAAAATAGGAGATTGAAGAAGATATATGACAATGAAATTGAAAGGAGAAATAAGAACTACATTTAATTTTACTTGATGAGATTTACTTTCTCTATTGCATTTAATTCTAATTGATCCTTAAAGGAGTTAACCACCACTTAGTGCTAAAAACTTGATTTTTAACCTGCTTAAAATTGCTGCAGTATTGCATTTTAGCATCAGAACTTGTGAAAAAGAAAACAAGCTCTTGGTTGTATCTGCTATGTAAATGTCAAATCTTAGTGGATGTTATTTGCTGAAATAGTAATTACACCATGATTAGATAGAAAATTAAATTTTGCATCATAATGGATTATAGATGTTTATCAAATTCATCCATTTTTTTGTTGGATTAATCAAATCATTAGTTGGTCTGTGATTGGGATAACTATTAGTGATTGAGTAGATTAAACAATTGGCAGTGAGGTATTTGTGGCCCATAGAGTACTCATTAATGAATGAATTGAGATGGTCACTGAACTTCAACCAAATTGATATATTGTCCTCAAAGTTACCAAAAGCTAGGTTTATTTAGGCTTCATTTGGGATGGCTTTCTTACTGCTTCTTAAAGCATGTTTTTATTACAAACATTTTAATTTCTGTACTAAAAATTATTTTAAGAAGCAGTAAGAAAGTTATCCCAAACAAAACAGTGAGTTCACGATTAGTACATATATAAGTAGCTACATGGGTAATTATATCTATTAAATCTACATGAATTTGAAGAAATTCCTCATAGTTGGGTCCGCCGATATTGATGCTTAAGACCACTAGATTAAAAAAAAATCAGAAATACCTGCCTAGTGCTGTCAGCCTGTCGTCTGACGCTGTGAAGCCTTGAAGGTGAAGTGTGGGCGACCGATGACTGGACCATCAAACGACGAAGGAGAAGGAAAAATGGCTCTGTATGTCACGAAGCCTCTGGCCGCTTTGCCTCTGCTCCCTACTCGAGTGCACGGTGCTCTGTGCATGCGTTGCACATGATTTCTTGGAAGGACACCTGCAAACCTAAAATTCATGGGGGGCTCGACATCCCTCCAATTGACTCACTTTATCATGCTTTTGGGTGCACTACTACTTGGAGGTTTTATAATTCCCAGAGCTATCTCTTTAGGTGGTGGAAAGAAAAATATGGCTCTTTCTGAAATTACAACATCTCTAAGAGCTCTATTTACTGGAAATCTCTTTGTGATGTTGCTAAATGCTTACTGCACTCTCTCAATTTAAAAATTATTACTTGTAGTAGTTTATCTTTCTTTTGGGATCCCTGGTGCTTTGGCCAGTCTGTTGCTGAGCGGCTTAAGTATGAGAATTTGGATTCTCTCATCAACCCTCCTAATTTGACTGTTAGTAGCCTTATTTCCAATGGCTCCTGGAACTTACCTCCGTCCATACCGACCCATTTGGCTACTATGATTACTTCTGTTCCTATTCATGACTTGATGGATGAATGTTGCTGGACAAAACCTTCAAAACCCCCCTTCAACAACTTTCTTAAACAATATTATGAAGATTGTGAGGTTGTTCCCTGGTATAAGTTTGTTTGGCATAAACATTACGCACTACATTTTTCTATTTATTCATGGATTGCCTTCAAAAATGGCCTTAAGACATCTGATGCTTTAACTGCTAGGGGAATTCCTGTTTCCCCTCACTGTGCTTTCTGCAGGATCTGTAGGGAAACTCAAAATCATCTGCTCTTTGAGTGTGATTACTCTTTCAATATCCCTAAGAGTTTCCTTCCTAGGATGAATTACAAGCTTCTTCGTCCAAACTTATGGCAAGTGTTAACGACATTGATGAAAGGGAACACAATAACAATAGGAAGAATTTCTATTTTTTTTTTTTTTTACTTTCTGCTATTGTATAGTACACCTGGAGAACTAGAAATGACAGATTATTTGGAAACAATATTGACTGCCATAATACCACTATCTCAAAGATTAGAAGGGCTTTTTATCTCAAGAATTTCATGAGAAAATGCTTTCACACTCAACAGTTTACGGCCACTTGATCTTTGTTTTTCTGCCGTGGAAGGTTTACTGGACACTGCCCGATCTCCTCTCCGATACATTGGTGTCCCTGGATGGTATCTTTTACCAACCAGGGGATGGGATTTTGAAGGACGATGATGAATGCAACCTACCATTCATCCCCTTGGACGGTCTCTGCGACAACCAGGGGATCCCCTCGTCCGTTAGGATGATTTTGACTGCATGGGAGTATTTCACGTTGTTTGCATGCTGAGTCCTTAAAATTTTTGGTTTCTTTCCTTCCTTTTTTTATAGCTTTTTCTTGTTTAGTAGCTTTTGCTTATAGGGTTTTGTCATTTGCTTCATAATTTTTTGTGTTTAGCAGATGATCTTCTTTATTGTAACTCTTTTTTATATCAATGATATGGGCTGATACCCCAAATTTCCAAAAACAAAAAACAAAAAAAAGAAGGCAGGTGGGCGCAGACGGGATAAGGGCTAACAAAAAAAAATGATTTTTACATACCTAACAATTAAAATAAGTCTATTTACATATCTAACACCTAAAATTTCATATTTACCCATACACCACTTAAAAATCTTAACCCTCATCAAAACTACTTTCCACTCCCGTCAAAAGAAACCGTGAAAGTGCACGGGAAGCCCTGACTCGAGCAGATCACCTTCCTCTCTCAGTTTGAATCGCACAGTTCGCGAACCTCGTCTTCTCCTTTTGCGAATCCGACCGCACGACATCTTCTCTTGCTAGTGGCAACACAGGTGATCATTATCATTAGGTATTTTCCTTCTCCATTTTTTGTTAACATTTTGTTGCTCTTTTTGAATTGCGGAGGCTGAGAAGAGGTAACACAGATATTTTTTTTGCGGAAACAATTGCTCCTACTTAATCTGTGGTTTTGTTGATCTTTATTAGGAACACTAGCTTCAAGAAGTAATAAGGGAAGCTTTCAAGGCAAGGTAACACAAGCTAATTCACAAAGGAATCATACAAATAAAAGTATCTGAAAAAATATTCGATCTAAAGCATTTTTGGAGAACCGAAGTTCAGGTATAGCAGTAGGTAAAATAAAGTAATTGGAATCAAACAAGTTTTATGTTTATACAATTTTTATTAATCGATCTAAAACATCTCAGGAAATCAACTGAAATTAATTAAATCTATGTTGACCTCTGTGTAATACCTAAGGGATACGAACAAAAAGAAGCATACCTTGAATCTCGTCGAGTGAATCCCGCTCCAATCCAGAAATCTCGCAAAATCACTGTAGCACGGCGCCGGTCGAATGACCTGCGAAAATCCTGCCTAAATCCTGCGAGCTGCCTTTGCACAATGATCCCGCTCGCTTTAAAAGCCGACCACAGGAAGGCTTACCATTTATGAGGCCTAAGCCACGTTATCAAATAGCTAACCATCAATGCCCGAAAAGATCAAAGTTACATCATGAGGCCTAAGGCATGTTATCAAATAGCTAACCATCAAATAAAAGATAGTTAACAGCTTAGAAAAACCAAAAATTAATATGCCAAGTGTCAAGATGTATGTACAAGTACAGATTCACAAACTATTTAAATTTTACTTGCTGAAAATGATCTGGAAGGACTTCACTATATATTCTATAAAAATAATTGTAAACACCGACATAAAGAGAATAGACATAAAAAAAAATTAAAAATAATAATTTATCATTATTACATAAGATAATAATAAACTATTATTATTATTATTATTAGTAATAACCTCTTATTATTATAGCTAATTTTTATAATAATAAGTAAGACAAAAATTTAACATATACCTAAGAGGTCGGATGGAGGCAGGAATCAGAGAGGGCAAGAGTAGATCGGGCAAGAGTAATAGCCTCATACAATGGACGAAAAATAAAAGACAAATTTGTCCTTTGGGCTTCCACATGACCACCCTTAAGTAAAGGGTAAAAAGGAAAAAAACAATTAAAGCAAATACAAACACAAATAAATAAAAACAAACAGTTGAAAGACCCAAAATTTGTACTTTGGGACGAAGTTGATTCCATGATAATGACATGATGATGGAATATCATGATGCCTAAAAATAATAGATTTTATATTTTCATGTCTACCACAAAAAAAGGGACATTGTCAAACATACATGCTCAAAAGTAAAATGTGTTAACCTCACTTGTAAGATCTCGACAATCAAGCAAGGTAATCTTTATGTTATTAGATATTTTAATGCAATGAAGGTTTACTAACTTTAACAAGATTATTACCAAAATTTCAAGATGACATATTACGATGATGTGGCAATTTTCAAGAAATTAGTAGAAACATAAATGGTGTTTAAGTTCCTTGCAAGACTCAATAGTGACTTCTATCAAGTTCATTTCCAAATCTTAAACAGATAAAACTTGTCATCACTAGATGTGATATACACTTTTATACGAGCCAAAGAAGGATTAAGGACAATAATGCTTGACATTCCAAGTTTTATATGTTGTCAGCACAAGATCATGGCTCAGGAGCAAATCCACTTCCTTTTTTTCTTTTATAGCCTTTGTACACTCACTTTACCCTCTACTCTCTTTATGTATGATTCATATATATGCTCCTAGAACTTCTCTAGCTATCTTTGTAATGTAATTAATCATCTATTTTATGCTCTACAACATCAAATTTTGCTCAAATATATGGTTTCAATAATCTAAATATGCTGAAAGATTTTCAACTTATCAGTTATCATATTTTCAGTAGAACCACCTTTTCCAAAGGCAATTTTTTATTTTTTTTTATGTCTATTCTCTTTATGTCGGTGTTTACAATTATTTTTATAGAATATATAGTGAAGTCCTTCCAGATCATTTTCAGCAAGTAAAATTTAAATAGTTTGTGAATCTGTACTTGTACATACATCTTGACACTTTGCATATTAATTTTTGGTTTTTCTATGTTGTTAACTATCTTTTATTTGATGGTTAGCTATTTGATAACATGCCTTAGGCCTCATGATGTAACTTTGATCTTTTCGAGCATTGATGGTTAGCTATTTGATAACGTGGCTTAGGCCTCATGATGTAACTTTGATAATTTGGGGCATATGTTGTATGGCCTATAATTTGAGTTTTAATCTACGTAGCATCTGTCCAACCAAGCTGATGCGGGATGCCTTAGACATTTAGGTCTACGAACCTAAGTTGAAATATGCAAAAAAGTCAAAAGATCAAGATTTACATTTTTTCAACTTTAAATTCAAGCAAAGATCAAATAAGGCACCTCATTTGTTCTAAATAATAAAACTAAAGTTGCTAAAACTTGAATTTTTATAAGAAATATGATATATAATTTCACAATAATTGATATTTTCATCACAAAGATGAAAATCAATATGCATAGAACTTGAGAAGATCATAATAACACACACTAACACATTTTAGTTTAGATGAAAGAACAAATATATAAAACAACAATTTGAACATTGAGGTCTCATATCAGTGCAAAGGGAATCGTGACCTGGAAGTTTTTGGTAAGACTAGCAAAATATTCAAAGAATCAACATCCAGTAGCCCATGCCCATCAATTTTATAAGAAACATGTTGAAAATTACCTTGATCCCTTGCATATTTATAATCTCAAACATTTCAAAAATCATAGATTCTTAAATTCTTCCTAGATTTTTATTAAATACTACAAGCTTCAATTCAACACACTTGGATTCCAATAAAAAAAAAAACTTCCAATTTCCAAATACTGTTTTTAGTTCCAAGCAATTCTAGATTTCAGGTCCTACTAAAGCCAGGTGCAGGATATGATATCCTCCAGGAAAGGAAAATCCAAACTGCAATTTATGCCATAATAATCAAAAGCGAAAACAACAAACATTGAAATATCATGATTCTGCTACAGTAGCCAGAATCATAGCTAGCTAGAAACATTACGCAAAATTCCCCCAAAAAAAAAAACAGTACGCAATAATAACTACCAGTCTAGCCATCACTAAAACAGGTATAATGTATAAAAAAGCTGCGAAAGCAGCCAACATTAATGGCTACCAAAAAGAGTGGCTAAGTAGGGACAAGGAACCAGCAGTGCTGAAATATGGAATCCGACAAGTGCTGATAACAATAACCAATCCCATTAATGCAATCAAACCATTGGAGAAAATATCCTGCTTCAATTGAAGCATCATCATAAGCATGTTTTACAACAAAATAAACTTAAAAAAAAAAAATGAAATACCAAAACTTAATGCTAACACTCAGAATGACACCATACTCGTCCAAATGTTCATAATTGTCTGAATATGGCTTTTTTGGCTTATGGGATTAACATCTTTTTTAGGCCATTCCACTGAAGGGAATTCTACCATTAATGTTGATCTGAACAAGAAGATGAAGCTGGAATACGATTCAAGTAAAGTTAAGTAGAAGAAAGTTGTTAAGTATGAAGAGAATTATGGTGCAATGCAGGAAACATGTTATCATTGTTTAATTTTCTTCTTTTTTAGCATGCAGGAAACAGTGTGACAAGAAAGAGGATAATGATGATCATGACTAGGGTTGCAAACGAACCTAGCGTTCGACAAGCTGCTCTGGGCTCTGCTCGATAAGGGCTCATTTATGTTTGTTTAATAAGATAAATAAACGAGTTTGAATACTCTTGATAAATACTCGATAGGTAAATGAACGAGCTTGAACAACGTGTCATTCAGTAATTTATGTTCACGAACAACCTCACTTAGAAGTTCGATAAGAGCTCGACTAAGAAGTTCTATTAAAATTTAAAAAATGAATATCATTAAATCTACTAATTTAATAATTTATTTTTACTAATTTAATATTAACCATTTTCATTAGACATATTTTCAACTTTTATTTTTCCTAATCTAACTAATTAGAAGTATTTTATTAAATCTTCTACTAAAAATTCTATTAAAATTCCGCCAGTCCTGACCCAATTTATAAAAATTTTATTAAACTCGTGCTCTCTCTCTCTCTCTCTCTCTCTCTCTCTCTATATATATATATATATATATAAATAATAGAAGCATAACTTGTATTAAAGTCTGATGCTCCGACAAAAAACCTTGGATGGGCCAAACATTCCTTATGAATTTTTTTAACCTTTTTAATACAAAGCTATGCTTCTAAAAATAACCCCAAGAAGATCTGCCTATGAGGTAGTCTCGAAGAGAAGCTAGTGGTGGACATCATCATCACTATAAGGACTCTATGAGATCAAGTGGTTGACAAAGTCACCATTCATTCAAAGACCTTAGAAGGCTCAAAAGCCTCAAAAGGCATAGGCACATAAAAACCTTTAGGAGGCTGAAAATCTCAAAAGGTACATATACCTTCAGAAGAGTTTAAAATACTAAGACCACTGTAAATGAAGGAGTTGAGGTAATCAATTTCAGCCTAAATGACTCGCATTGTACCACACAACCAAAATCATAAAATATTTCATTTTCTGTGTTTCCAAAATGGCAATAACTTTTCTAGATGCCTTTCAGACTGAAACTACAAAATTACTCTTAATTAAACAAACTAACGAATTTTAAAAAGGAATTGCAACTAAAGAAGCCTTTCTATAATCAAAATCTGGATTAGATATAGCCAGTTTAGTCATATAACCCGATCAGACTTTGCTTTCTCCCAAATGTACTTGACAAAATTGGAAGCATGCCAAATACAATACTTAATACAGTAAAAAAACAAGGACTAAATTGCTTCAATGGCTTAATAATTATGATGAGTTTCTTAAGTAAGCATTATCTGCCTCATCCAACCCACCAACCCAGCATGCCTATGGTTATCTAACTTGCCATAATTGAGCAAACCACAATTACTTGGGAGTCAAGTATAAAAATCACTATCATTCAATTCTGGAAAGAGTTGCATATAGTGACTTATTTAATCCGTCAGAGATAGCAATAGTTGCCGCCCTTTACCCATCGATTAAACTTATCAATGGCACTGCATATATAATGGGATGAGCTCTGTGATTTTGCACCTAAGCTAATTAAAAATACATTTGAGGTGTAAATTCAAGTTTATCAGAATAGTTCATCGATACAAAAAAATCATTAAATGGTAAGATCAATAAAAGAAAAAGTAAAAAACAAAATTAGGCTTTCTTTGAGTTGGCTCACCATAATTTGTTAGCGAAAAATCCAGATAAGTTTGCACATGTAAACTCTCACATCTAGCGTAATTTTTTAAATGTTATGGATATTACAATTATGCACATTTTAAATATTTTCTAAAAATTTTACGAGGGTTTTGAAATTTGTGATATTTTTATTGAATAAAAAATTATATGTATGTTAAAAAAATAGTGGTGTATAATAAAAGTCTTAAAACATCATTTTACACAATTCATGATAATTTGATAATTTTTTGAAAATATACACTTTTGTCTAATAAGATTTTTTGTTGTATACTGTTATGCAACACTGAAATTTTGATATATGCTCAATTACTCTTTAACTGTTATAATATGATGATATATATGCAACACTGAAATTTTAGTCGATGCTCTGAGCTCTCACCTCTTTGGTTCTGGCTTTTTGCCTTCCTCTCCTCCACCTTCGGACTCCTGAGTTCTGCCCCGAGCTATCGGGTCTCAGCTTCTTATTGGATCCTTTATCTTAATCCTGTAGTGCATTGTGTGACTCTATCCCGATGTGGTATTATCATTTATACTTTTCTAGGTTCTGCCAGTTAGAGTTTAGGGTTATTCACACCTTCAGTTTAGAGATTTATTCCTTTCAATTTAAAGCGGTTAGGGTTTTATTTTTTCAGTCTTTGACTTTTTGCATTGAGATTTGAGGGCTTTGAGCCTTTGATATGCTGATTAGGACATCATTTTATTTTTTTCCATCGTTTCCATTTAATTTTTTTAGGCTTTGTATATTTTAAGGTTTTTCCAGTTATGCTGTTAAAGAATCGTATAAATTCGAGAGGGTTTAGCTGGCATCACTCATCATGGATTTTTTAGGGTTTGTCACTTTGTTACCTCTTTGTGCCGTTGTATTTGTGGTTAGTGGCGGGGATAAATGCTAAACCTGAAAATATGAAATACATGTTAGCTTATATCAAGAGCAGATAGTGTATTATCTAAGAGATACTAAATTAAGCTTAATGCAAATTGCCGCCTTGGATGGTAATAGAGAATTAGAAATATCAAATATTCCTTACTTACTTTTCATTAATTATTGAATGAGTGGAGGATTTACCTGAGCTATTCATTAAAACTTTGTAGTTGTACTATCTTATAAATCATAATTTAGAATTATATATGTTTAAGACTTTTTAAGTGTTTAACAATCTTCCTTTTGCAGCTAATTCAACTTGAAGGGGAGTTTGAGCTTCTAAGTTGTAATTTGAGTTTGTAAGTTGTAATTTGACTATTTGAGTTTGTAATTTTAGATTGTTTAGTTTGTAATTTAAGCTTGTAAGTTGTAATTTGAGCTTGTAAGTTGTTATGTAGTTTTAGTTTAATTGTAAAGTGTTATGTAAAAAAGTAAAAATTGTGAAGTTTTTAATGAAATTTACCTCTTGCCACTTTCCATGTTACTAGCAACATAAAAGCTAGTTTTTTGGGAAAACTATAATAAATGTCAGGGAAGAATAGACCGCCAGCTTTGAAGTAGATATGGGCGTTTGACGACTGCACATGACTTAAAAAAAAAACTAATGATATTGATAAAAAATATGTTGATATCACATAGATTTTACTGCCTTAAAAATAAGATTTCCTATTTGTATAGCTTGTATTGTATGTTTATTCTTGTTATATATAAGTTCAACTGATGTACAAAATCAAGTTAAATAAATAAAAAAAATTTAAATTTTTTATAAATAAATATATATATTTAGATTTTGTTTGAGACGTTTTTCTTACTGCTTCTTAAAGTAATTTTTTAATATAAATTTTTTATTTTTTATTAAAAATTTATTTTAAGAAACAATAAAAAAGCCATCTCAAATGAAGCCTCATAGAGGATTTATGTTTCCGTTGGAAAATGTTCTTGTCTCTCCCCATCATTCAGGGGCAAAGCCCTACATTGGGTACTTATATGCACACCGACCCACGAGGGTATGGGTACACCCATGATCTTGTGGGCGAATATGGGTGGGTACTCAAAATCGGAGGATAAATCAATTTACATTGATAATTATCATGCACAACACTAAACCACGCTGCAACCACGATAAATTATGATATGCAGGTTGAAAATTTACAATTAGAACAAAGAGAAACAAGTCTCAAGGCCATCGGTCTATGGCATACTTCGTTCAAAAAGCGTGAAAAATGAGTGGGCATGAGTGGGTACAAAACCCCAAAAATTACCATGGAAGCCCACCCGCACAAAACATGAGTACCCATTCCAGGACCCCCCCCATATAAGGCTTTGTTCATGAGACCCAAACCTTGCTCACTAATGCCTTCCTTCCACTCCTGCTGAGCATCCAGACATAGTATGTCTCGTTGCCTCTGATAACGAGTGGCGCTCAAACGTGTTCCCTAACAGCTCGGTTCGAACAACAATAATAGAGTGGAATTTAGCAAATACCAGCTCAACAATGGATCAACAAACACGAATAATAAGCTTTTCATCGGCAACTTTTAACTATAAAAATTTTCTACTACAACTCCTTTACATTAATTTTCAAATAGCATTAACGGTAACAAGAATTCTCTTTCAGTCATTTTCTCCTCCCATGTTACTCAACATATTGGAAGAGCAATCCTTCCTTGGAAGAAAGTAGGCTGAAGCTTCTGTTGAATGATATGAAAATTCTAAAAATAACATTCAGAGCACGGCTAAGCATACTGTACCAAAATTTTCCCCTAACCTTTTCATGCAGCGAGCCCCCTTCTTTTGATGGCATATACGGATATAAATCATAAACATATATGGGAATCAATCCTCTTGCTCAATTCTCCCTCTTCCTTCCATGTTGGTCTTATGAGTTATTTCATGATATTTGCATATAAAGTTGCCAGCATTTCTTTGACCAATTTAAAGGCTCATTAAGTTGTTCAGCGCCTGATAGGAAGCTCAGGGTAAGAAGACACTGCGATGACCAATGTATTATGATTCCGTGACAGAACCCACTGAGCTTCTTTGTCAACTACCAGAAGACATGGCTTCTTCTATCCTCCTGATGACCACACTAAGGCTATGGCCAGATCGCAGAGCTTTAACAGCCGCTAGAAGTGCATGCTTATGCCACTTAAGAAGATTGTAGGACTGCATGACTGACCAGCGTGCTTGATTTGCCATCTGATTAATTGAATAAAGAAAGCAAAGAAATATTAGAACAGTTACTTCCAATGTTTGAAGGAAAAATGCAGAAGTGAATTTACCTGTGGTACAGTTAATGGAGGTTGGAGGAGAAGACAGATACCCCTAAACAAATTTTCATCATTTTCTCCACCTTCTGCTTCTCCATAAATGAGAGATTCAGCGGCAATCCCAGAAAAGAGAACCATACAGTACCTGAAAATGTTTTTAGGATGTATGTTGATGTATTGTGTGGCAAAGATGGGAAAGAGGAATATAACTCTTCCATTATTTTTCCAACCTTCACATATTTTACCTGTCATAAGCTGTGCTACTAAGTCGACCTTCTGCCATCTCTTTTTCTAACTTCTCATCCCAAAATTGAGTACCCGCCTGTGCGAATGTGAAGATTTAATCCACTGTAGGGTAGTGTTACAACCAATCTTTCACAAACAGGTTCCGTTTGTTTGTGCTGAAGCAATTATAAGAAAGAAAATAGTAATGAAAATGATAAAGCAATTGAGTTTGAATTTGTTTTGCTTCATTTGTTTGGTGGATTAAGGTTTAGGTTTTTTTTTCCCCATGCTTCATTGATGAGAAATTCAAATTTTTGTTTCTTTTGATAAGGGGTTCAGTCGTGGCGATGACCCAATAAAATTTCTTTCTATTTTTCATCAGAGTTAAGTAAGAAACTAGGAATTGTTCATTGTAAAATGCATGTGCTCATATTTCTTAGATAATCCGTTTTGAGAATTAATAAAAGAGAACCATGGAAAAAAGATCCGACTTTCCAACATAGAGAAGCTAGTCCTAATTCCATAGAAAAAGAAAAATGCTATTAGTAAATCTACGTATAATATAATACCTGGCCTTGAATGCCCATCTTCATTGCCACAATGGGGTCCAAAATGACCCCTCTTATAGGGCATCCCATCAGATATGCTGGAATAATTGAAGATAAAGTTAATTAAATTAGTCATTTAGGCTTTGTTTGGGGCGACTTTCTTACAGCTTCTTAAGACAGTTTTTTAGTTCAAAATTTTAAAATTTTGTACTTAAAAGCTGCTTTATGAAAAGAATATTGATTTAAAATTCATGGACTGTAGCACATATTTATGTCACCAAGAGGTCAAATATGCATATGTTATAAAATGGTTGGGATTGTATATATAGCTTAAGAAATCACCTGTTAGAACATGCCCTGCTTCATGAACAAGAACTCTGCTCCTGTAAGGAGGCCAAAAGCATAATATTTGTGCAAGACAGGTTCCCCCAAGAAAAACAGCGTCAATAGCGGCCAAACCTAATACCGCTGCAATATTAGGCCTTATGTCTACTCCTTGAGAGATCAGAAGATTAGCACCACCTAAAATTCCAAGCAACATAATCCTAGAGGTTCCAGAAAGGCCCCACTTCTTAGGTGCAAGCTTCGAAGCTGAACAAATGGCAAATAGATCACTTGGCGATTTAAATTATTGCTCGCAAAAGGAGAACAATGGTTATATTCAAAAAGGTAAAAGAGTGTATAAAGAGGACAGTTTAGCAACTCAAGAAATTATTTAATGAGGATGTTTAAAAAAAATTATTTTAGAAGAACATAATAAACCAAATAATGAAGAGCATTATGGACAAAAAAAAAATAAAAGCAAAGTTAGCTTTGAGAAGACATGTAAAAGCAAAGCTTTAGACCTACATGAGAATTAAAAATAATAATAATATTATAACAAAAAATAACATACATATAATAAAAATAATTATGAAGAACTGCCAAAAATGAAGGAAAAAAACAAAAATATCATGATAACCAACTATGCAACATCCAATGGATCCTATAAGCTAAAAAAAACTCATTTAGAATGTGTTGCTTGAAGCCTTATCAATAGAAGAGAGTAGTGATAGATTTTTTTTCCGATTTCTGACCCATCTAGTAAATAGAATTTGGAACTTTTATCAACTAAAACTTCGACACTATGAATGCACGCATACGAATTATAAGGTTGCAAAGAATATGATTATTACTAAATTCTCAAATTGGAGGGAGCTAAGGTATTCCAATAATAGGTTGTTCAGTCTCAATGCTAATACCAGCTAAGGATGAAGTACCCATTCATAAAACAAGTAGGGAGCGAAATAAAATTGATTCCAAATTCTAAGTGCAGACTTGATTTAACGTAGCAGTATCTATTAAGATTTGGAGAATTATGAGGGAAAAGATTAGGAGGTCGTCAAATGATTGATGGATAAACATTTCATGATAATAAAGAAGACAAACTTATATCAAACAATAAAGCTAGGTAGGAAACTAATGAATATAGACTATGAAATATTAAGTCAGCGTGAAATAATCAAATTGATTTCACACCAAGAAGAACTTCCATGAAAGTGATTTTTATGTTAAAACAATTAATAAAAAAATATATGGAGAGCTAATAAAGGTTCCCAATATGGTTGTTATTATCCTTAAGAAGGCATATGATTAGGGGTGTCAATTTCGGGTAACGGGTCGAACCCGAAACTGACCCGTCACTATTCGGGTCAACCCGAACCCGAATCGTTTTTGAAAACGGGTCAGTTTTCCTGACCCAAACCCGACGCGCTTCGGGTCCGGGTCAACCCGACACGACCCGAGTGACCCGTTTCCAACAAAAAATTGCTAGTTTTTGGGTAAAAACGGGTCTATCTCCTCTTTTTCGGGTCAAAAATGGGTCAAAATCGAGTCAATCTCGGGTTACTGGGTCAAAATCGGGATTTCGGGTCAATTTCGGGTCAAAGGGTTAACCCGAACCCGACCCGATTTTTGAAACGGGTCAAAATGTTGAACCCAAACCCGACCCGTTTCGGGTTCGGGTTGACCCTAACCTGAAATTTTCGGGTCGGGTTCGAGTCGGGTTTTCGGGTCGTGTC